AAAACGCGGCGCGGGCAGGGGGCGGCTCCATCTTCCCGCGCCGGCCGGCTGACCGGCAGCGCCGGGGAGGTTGAAAGAAAAGCACCCAAAAATATAAATAAATAAAAGAAGAGGAGGGAGGAGATAGAAAAATAATCTTTTCCATTCTCCCTCGCACACACGGCGCATCCCCCGCGCCGCGCTCCCTCTGCCTCCCGCGCTCCCCCGCAGCCCTCTCCCGATGGCCATCAAGGGGGCGGCAAATAATAATGCTACCAAAAAAAAAAACCCCAAACCCCGAACGACAACAACGACGACTAATTTTAACCCGGCTCAATCAATGAGTCATTAAAAGCGCTCCTTCCCCCACCCCCCTCGCCTGCATTTGCATGGCATCAGCGCGAGAGAGAGAGAGAGAGAGGGAGAGGGAGGAAAAAAAAAACCCGACACAACACCCACCCCAAACCTCTCCCCTTCCCTCTGCAGCTATCAGCCTGGACCTGAAACCTTATCTCCCTCCTCGCTCTCCCCCTCTCTCCTCCTTTTATTTTAAGAAACAACTTCTTTTTTTTCCCTCCCTCTCCTCGCTCGCTCCCTTCCCTCTAAGTGCCCTCAGTAGCCGCCGCCACAGCCTCGCTGCAGGGGAAGGGAAGCGGAAAAAAAAAAAAAAAAGAGGAATAAATATTTCATTTCCATGTGAATTAACATCTGCCCAACAACCACCCACCCACCCCCAGCCGTCTCCCTCGCCCGGCTCCCCGCTCCTCGCTGGATAGATATTTATACACAGAGCCCCGGAGCCAATAGCTCTCTGGGCTTGAAACCTAATATCCTGGTTTTGGCAACTCCTGGCTCTTAATTTGCTCCTCTTTTCTTTGCTGTCTGTCTAGAGATAGATTTCCCCCCCACCCCCGCCGCCCCTCTCTTTTCCCTCCCCGAAGGAAGGGAGGAAGGAGGTTGTGTGTTTTTTTTTTTTTCTTCCTTGAAATTTTTATCACAAAATTATAATACACTCAAAGGGAAACTCACCGTCATGAAAAAGCAGTGCCTTGTCAACGGGGTTTCTTCGCCATCACATCAGGGGCTGGCAGTGTAAGAGAGAGAGAGCGAGCGGGCGAGAGAGCGAGCGAGGGAGGGGGGAGAGGGAGAGAGAGAGAGGGGGAAAGAGAAAGCGAGCGGGAGAGGAGAGGAGAGCGGAGCACACCACACCACACCGAGCGAGCCGCGTTTCGCGCCCGGCGCAGCCAGACAATGCACAGCGAGGAGCCGGCAGGCGCAGCACAGCACACATTAGCCTCATTATTCTTAGCGCCGGGCTCCCGCTAAACTCCCGGCTTCTCTCTTCTTTACCAAATCAGTCCCTTGCAAAAGTTTTCTTTTATTATTAGTATTATTACTATTCTTTCAAAGGAAACAACCTCTGAAGATCCAGTTTTGTGCTCTCATGTATAAAAGAATGGAACAGCTAGGGAGCTGCTCACCTTTCTCCTGTTTTAGCGAGCCAGTCCCTTTCAAAAGTTTATTACAATTATTATTTTTTTTTTTTTTAAACCCTGAAGATCCAGTTTTGTGATCTCCTGTTTAAAAGAATGTTAGAGCTCAGGAGCTCCTCACCTTTCTCCTTTTTTAGCAAGCCAGTCCCTTTCAAAAGTTTTATTATTATTAAAAAAAACTGGAGATCCAGGGGGGTTTTCTTGCTCATGTTTAAAAGAAGGGAAGAGCTTGGGAGCTGCTCACCTTTCTCCTTTTTTAGCAAGCCAGTCCCTTTCAAAAGTTTATTGTCATTATTATTATTATTATTATTTCCCAAAAAAATAGAGATCCAGGGGGTTTTTTCTTGCTCATGTTTAAAAGAACAGAAGAGCCAGAGAGCTACTCA